ACATACGATGAATGGTTGCAGGAACTGGGCATGGCTAGTCTAGGGAAGAGAAGGACCAGGGGAGACATGATAGCAGTCTTCCAATATCTATGGGGTTGCCACAAAGAAGAGGGAGTGAAACTATTCTCCAAAGCAAGAAGCAACGGGTGGAAACTAATCAAGGAGAAAAGCAATTTAGAACTAAGGAGAAATTTCCTGACAGTGAGAACAATTAACCAGTGGAACAACTTACCTCCAGAAATTGTGAATGCCCCAACACTGGAAATTTTTAAGAAGAATTTGGATAGTCATTTGTCTGAAATAGTATAGGGCTGTGATGGTGAACCTATGGCACGCATGCACTTGCGGTGTTGCCTGTTCCTCTTCTAGGTGTCTGGCGTGCATGCGTGTGTGATGATCAGCTGGCCTTCATGCATGAGGCAGTGCCGGAAACTGCAAGAGCTGGTCTTCCGTTTTCCGGCGTGAGCATGTGCAGTGGCCTGTTGATCGTCACATGTGCAAGCGCGCCAGTAACCGGAAGAGTAGCTGCCCGGCACGCATGTATGCTCCGGAAACCAGAAGTTTATTTTCCAATGCGTGCATGCCCCTTAGGCAACTTCTGTTCCAGGTTGTGACCCAGATGAGCATGCATACACTCAGTGCTGAAAAGATTCACCATCACTGGTATAGGGTTTCCTGCCTAAGCCGGAGGTTGGACTAGAAGATCTCCAAGGTCTCTCTCAATTCTGTTATTCTAATCTCATTGACTGGGGAGGTCTATATTTGTGCATATAACTGGATAGACCCCAATAGACAATGGAAGATGAAATCCCAATACTTGGAATTGTGCTTTGGCATTGCTTAAAAGCATTTGTTTGTTTGTTTGTTTGTTTGTTTGTTTGTTTGTTTGTTCGTTCATTCATTCATTCATTTATTCATTCATTCATTCATTCATTCATTCATTCATTCATTCATTCATTCATTCATTCAAATTTGTCAAACAAAAATGAGAACAAGAACTTTCCTTGAAAATGCAGAGCAAATTCCAAGTTCGGGTTTGCAGTTGCAATTTGCCTTGATACTAAAATTAACAGGGAGCCTTTGGGTCACAGTAAGAGAACTGCCAGAGTTTGGGTGGGATGCATTCAGGGTGGTGAGGTGAGTCTCTCATGAAAGAAACTGTCCCAAGAGGGTTGCAAATTGAACAGTGCATTCACCAAGCATCAAAAATCAATCAGCCTGCAAAGGTAAAGAGCTGGTGCTTTGCATTTATTTCTGGGTTTTGTATTCCTGCTCACATTTTTAAAATCCCACACGGCTGACTTGCTTTCTCTTCCTCTGGTGCAGATCGGTGGACCTCGAGGTGAAAAGGGGCAGAAGGGGGAGCCGGCGATCATTGAGCCAGTAAGTGTCTTTGCTTTGCAGGTAAAGGTGTGTGTGCTGTTGAACCTCATAGTTGAGGCCTCCATGTTTCCCGTGGGAACTTTTATTTAATTGACAGTGAATTCCTCTCCAGCAAAGTCTTTCCTCCCCCACAATCTTTCAAGATAATTCACAATTACCAACCTTGATCGGGCTTGGAGAGGAGCCAGGCTGATATCTTTCAGATGCAGCAATACTTGGCAAGAATGCAGGAATGAACTAATTGTCTCCTGCAAACTCCACTCCCCTTTTCTCCTCTTTCATTCCCTACGGGAGTGGGCCACTCATAGTCCACCTGTGGCCTTACTCCGGAGTCGGCCCTTGTTCCTTAGCTGTTCCCTTCGTCTGGCAACTCTGCACATGCGCACACTGGGAACAGGCTCCAGCTGTTCTTCTGCCCCACTGATGTCCGACTCTTGAGAAGACGCACAATGTAGGCGTCAGTAGCACCACAGGGTGACTGAGCACCACAGAGCCTTGTTCCAGGCCAGCAGCAGAGAGCCTGGAGCTTGGCCTGGTGTCTCTCAGTGACGTTTCATCTCCAGGCTCTTTCAGGGAGAGAAAGCCCCCCCCCCCGGTCATTGAACCAACACAAGCATAAAACGGGCTGTCCCCATTGACGATCCCTGCCCTGCCTCAAGCATGGCCCCCTCAGAAGGCCTCGTCCTTATTTGTGTGGAGCCCAGAGGACAGGGATTGCGGGGGTCTCCTGCGTGGGCTCACCCTGCTCCCCATTCAATGTCATCATCCAGTGGAAGGCATCTGCCCCTTAACTGCCCTCTGCCAATAGTTCCTTCGCTTTTGCCCAGGTGCTGTGTGTGAGTTGGTACTGTATCAGTTGGGCTCCTTTTAGACAACCTTAGGGTTAGTCTTAGGGTTAGCTCAGCATAAATTTGGAGAGCAAAATGAATCTTACCAATGGATTTGGAGAGCTTTGTTATGCTTAGGAGCGGGCTCCCTGTTTGAGCCTGCCTTATCTAAGTTTCCTGGTAAAATACATGGTAAAATCCAATTGTGGGGAATTCCACTTAGCATTAGGGTTAGGGTCCTAAATTGGGCTCCTTTTAGACAAAGGTTAGGGTTAGAATTTATGTTTAGGGGTAGGGCTAGCATTAGGGTTAGGGCAGCAGGTGGTATTCAGCAGGTGCTCTCTGGTTTGGGCGAATCAGTAGTGGTGGCTTCGGGAGGCTCCACCCACTTACCCCGACGTAATGTGCAAGCACAGTGCATGCACAGAAGGTGGTGCGCATGTGCAGGCCAGGCACATTCGAACTCGTTCACATTTATGAATTGGTAGGGAAGGTAAGGGAATCCCATCTCTGGTTTGGGTCCTAAGTTGGGCTCCTTTTAGACAAGGGTTTGGCACTAGTCCAGAAGAACATTCAGCTCTGGGCCAGAAGCAGCCTGAGTGACACCTGGCAAATACAGGAAGGGCCACCTGCCAAAACTGCAGAGAGCAGCCACCTCCCTCTGTCCTGCTTCACTGTGCAGCCCCACTACAATTCTCACCAACCCCAGCCTGCCTGGGACGATGGGTATTGCAGCCCGGAAGACTCTGGAGAGCCAGCTTTGATTCAAGGCTGAGATGGGGCGCTGGAACCTTGTCTCCCCACCTGCCTGTAGAGATGCCAGGGAATTCCAGGTGTTCTTCAGTCTTCATCCCATCATCTCTTTGGTAGCAGGAAGATGTTTCTGAGAGCCTCGTGTGTTGGTGTGTTTGTTGAAGGAGTGGATCATTTTCGACTCACCAACATTCATTTCCCCCTCGGTTTTAGCCCCATGAAGCCCATTTGAAGGCAGAATCAATCTCAATTGCAGAAATCCAGATAACCACTGGATTGGTTTTTTTCTCGTGCAAACGTTTAGACTTTGATAGAAAGTAGATAGTGGAAAGTAGTAGCCTTTTGTGCAGATAGACAAAAGGCTTGTGGTGCCTTAAAAATCATTTTGCACGAGTGCACTAATTCCAGTCTTGGTGATTTTAAGGCCATTCGGTTTCCAAACCCTCCCTTGGCTTCAGAGCTTTTGTTTTCTGCTGCTTTTTTGTTAGTGTTTTGGAGGGTTTTTTGGACAAGGCAAACAAAATCCTCACCTTTCCAGGAGTCCTGCAATGCGCTGCCTGCTTGGTTATTATGCCAGAAAGTTGGAAGCTGAGAGTTCTTGCCAGCGTCTTCATGTCAGAGGAAGCTGAAACAAATTTTGTTTGATTGACTATTCATTTCTACAACTTCTTGGATGCTGGATGTGTGGAAAATTTGAATGACTATGGTATTAATATAACAAGATTAAATGCAAGAATCAAATGATACACTTATAAACAATCAATCCGAGGTAGCACCCTTCCTCGTGATTTGTCCCCTGAGGCCTTTTGGAAGAGCTCTTCAAAATATAGTAATCTGGGGTTGACATGGTCATAATTGAGGAGGCCCAAATCCAGGGCCCCGGGAGATGAAGTTTTGTCTGTGGTGGGATCCTCAGGAAGCTCCTCCTGCCAGATCTTTCTTGGTTTCTCCATCCAGGAGATAAAGCAGATGTCAGGCTTCCAGCCGATGCCCTCATAAAAGCAGGAGCCTGAGGAAAGTTCCAAGGGAAACTCAGTGGTTTATTAGGGGCCAAGTGAAGCCATCTCTAACTTCCTCGGTTCGCGCCTTGCCTCTGACCCCGGCCAGGTGCTCTTTGCCTTGGGCCCCTGCCTGGCTTCTTGTCCTGCCTGGCTGCTTCACTTGAGATGCTTTGGGTGTTAAACCACAATTCATTAGGAAGGTATCCTCCTCCTCCTTCTTCTTCTTCATCATCATCATTTGATGACCCCATAATCCCTTGCATTGGGGTGGAGTCTGGCAACTGAATGGAGCTAGCAGAGTGTTTATTGGCCGGATGCTCTTCCTGTTGCCCATGCAGAGTTTTGTTCAGCAGATAATATATTCTCATCGTGCCCAGAGGGAGAAATATCTGCCTCTACAGCCACCTGATCGTAAGGTGAGAGCTCCACCGCCCCACTCTAGGAAGGCATCCCTCTTCCCCATCTTTATTCCCAAGAATGTTTGAGGCGTCGTGGAGCTGGAGAGCTTTTTGGAAGTAGGAATCTGGCCTGTTTGACAGGGCAGCCAAGTTTTCTTCCGAAGCAGTCCTGCTTCTCTTCTGTCCTTGTTGGCCTTCCTTCCTTTCCTGCAAGGCAGCAGCCCCCGGATGGCAAAAGGTTCTTGGGAAATTAAAGGGGGAGTGGAGTCCCCCTGCCCTCCATGGTGAAGAGGCTCCAACAGCATCGCCATTTGGGGAACAGCCCTTTCTGGAGGGAACCTTCACGGCTTCCTTGGGAGCCTGAAGTTGGTCTATCCATGTTCTGGGAGTCCTCAATTGGGTCAGGGTTCAAAGTAACAGACCCAATGGAGTCAAAACTCTTGAGTGTTCCTCAAAGCACAGTTTATTAGGCATGTCATATTGGCACATCTGGTGAAAACCCAACTTCGAAAGTCCCACCCAAATTAAAAATCAAAGTTCTCTTCCTGCTTCTACATGTCCATCACAAGGTCCAATCAGGTCACAGTCCAAACTTCCTTTGGTTCCAGTCCATGCCTTCCCAGCACCTGGTGAGAACCTGGTCCTTGGTTCCTAGGAAAAAGAATGATATATTGGCTACAAGTCCCCAGCTATCTCTGCTCCCCACTCCTGTTCCCACAGCTCCAACCAGCCCAGCTGTGGCAGCATTGGAGATGCTCCAAAATGGCTTCAGGGTTGAGAGACTCTGAGAGAGAGAGAGAGAGAGAGAGAGAGAGAGAGAGAGAGAGAGAGAGAGGGAAGGAGGGAGGGAGGGAGGGAGAGAGATGTGGGGGTGACCCTGGACCGTCTCTTCAAATTGCTCTGGAATCAATGTGCAGATGTGCTTCCTTGGGGGAGCCTCCCTGGCATCTCCTGCTCCCCAACTTCTCTCCTGCAACGCAGAGGCCAAAACTGACATTTCTCACCCTTACTGGACTTTGCAAAGGTGAAGCCTGAAAAAACACCTGGCAGGTGGGTGAGGGGGGGGGGGGCAGGGCCTTTCTGGTTAGTGATCAGGAGTTTCTGGTCCAAGAGTTTTGTAGGCTCCATAATGTCAGCTTGTTTCACGTACCATTTACACCAGCCCCCTACATGACCCCAACCCACAAAAGCTGGATATTGGGGAAAGCACACAAAACCGGAACTTAGCAAAGTTGTGATGCTTCTCTTTCCTTCCCCCCTTTCGCGGCTGGGAGGCTTGTAAGCAGGGCTGGCAGTGGGGATGTGTGTGTGTGTGTGGGGGTGTCAGGCTGAGTGGGGCTTTCTGGAGGGATTCAGCCAGGTATGAGGCAACGTGGGCTGGTGTTTGTAATGGGGAGGGTCCGGTGCTGTTCTGTGCTTCTCATCTCTTCCTCCTCCCTTTCCAGGGGATGCTGCTCGAAGGGCCGCCTGGCTCAGAAGGCCCAGCCGTAAGTTGCTTGCCTCTCTTTGCCTTTTGGCCCCAGGGATGTGGACGGGGCTCCCCTGCTGTGGTCAGAGCAAGTCTGCAGAAGGCGGCTGCTCCCGCCTGCAGCTGCTTCCGTGGGTGAACGTGGTGCTCCGTGGTTGCCTCCCAGGTCAATTCACCCGTGCAGAAGTCAACCCTTCTTGTGTGTCTCCCTTCCATGAGGAGGGCGAGAACTTCCCTCCTTCCCTTGGAGCTGAACTTCCTTCTTTCTCTCCTCCATCAGGGGCTGCCAGGCCCTCCGGGAACAACGGGGCCAGCGGGGCCAATGGGGGATCCTGGAGAAAGGGTAAGTCCTCTTGCAGGGAGGGTCACCTGGAGTGGAGCACCATTGCATTGCCAGGCTTCTACCTGGGGGAGGTTGGAAGCCATTTGGGGGCATGGCATCCGCAAACTGGGCCTGGGGCTGATAGGAGGCACACTGTGGGAAGACCCCGATTCTTCCTGGCTAGAGGAAGGAAGGAAGGAAGGAAGGAAGGAAGGAAGGAAGGAAGGAAGGAAGGAAGGAAGGAA